TCTGGCCGGTCGACCGGCCTTGGCACGGCGGTCGACCGCGAATCGTCCAGACAGTTTCCTAAACTGTTTGGGAATCTGTTTTGTTTTAGGATTCTATATATACCCCCAAAACGTTTTTAGGGTTTGAGAGACATCAAAAGGAGAGCTTTTTGACTGCAAAAGAGAGAGAGAATCTCAGAGAGATTAACCCCTTGTTTGAGAGCTTGTATTTTCTTCTTCAATTAATAAAAAGATTGTGTGGTGTGGCTCCCGAGGACGTAGTCACGTTGCCGAACCTCGTTAAATCTCGTCTCTTTTACTGTTTTTTACAAGTTAGATCTTTATTTGTGGTTTTATTCCTACTTTCCTACTTTCAACACAAGGTCCGGAAGGGCAAGGGTTCGATTGATTATTTCGAATCCCCAACAACTGGTATCAGAGCTTCGTTCAGCAATTTGTGTGAAAGCCATGGCAGAGGAAAGCAAATCAAAGATTGAGAAGTTCGATGGATCGGATTTCGCCTACTGGAAGTCGCAGATGGAGGACTATCTGTACCAGAAGGACTTGTATCGCCCGCTGATGGGCAAGGAAAAGGGAAAGAAGAAAGAGGAGTCAGATGGTGATTGGGAGGTACTGGATAGGAAGGCCTTAGGGCAAATCCGGTTGTCGCTCGCCAAATCAGTAGCCCACAATATTCTGAAGGAGAAGACGACGGTGGGGCTTATGGAAGCACTCGCGAAGATGTACGAGCAACCGTCGGCAGCAAACAAGGTGCATCTAGTCAAAACTCTTGTGATCAGCTTATCTCCGTGGACATCACTTTTGATGACGAAGTGCAAGCCCTATTGATTCTATCGCAGTTGCCGGATAGTTGGGCAGGTTGTGTGACGGCAATCAGCAATTCGGCGGGGAAAGAGAAGTTGAAGCTGAATGAGGTTGTTAGCATGATTCTATCCGAGGAGGTTAGAAGGAAATCGTCCGAATCAGAAGGTTCAGGTTCAGCCCTAAGTTTCGAGCAGAGAGGCAAAAGCCAGAAGAAAGGGAACCAGAACAGGAATCAGTCGAAATCAGTGAAGAAGAGGCCGAACTCGAAGGTTAGGTCTATCAAAGAGAAGTGTTGGAACTGCGGCCAGGAGGTCCATATGTCTTCGGTCTGTAAAGCACCAAAGAAGGATGCGGGTGAGCAGGAGGCTCATATCGTGCAGGATGCCTTGATCCTTGCTATGGATAGCGATTCTGATTCTTGGGTCGTCGACTCAGGAGCTTCTTTCCACGCCACTGCTAATAGGAAACTACTTCAGAACTATGTAGCAGGGGACTTTGGTAAAGTATACTTGGGGGACAATGAACCTTGCAATATTGTTGGAAAGGGCGACGTTCAGATACAGATAAAGGGCTCTAAGTGGAACTTGAAGAACGTGAGACACGTGCCGAAGCTGAAGAGGAATCTTGTTTCGGTGGGACAGCTTGGAGCAGAAGGCTACGTTTCGACATTCACCGGGGATTCGTGGAGAATCTCCAACGGTACGATGATTGTTGCCCGAGGCAATAAAACAGGAACTCTCTACCTCACTTCACATGCGAGTGACACCCTCGCAATTGCAGCTGGCAATGAGAGTACAGATCTGTGGCACAATAGGCTGGGGCACATGAGCGAGAAAGGGATGAAAATTCTACATTCACAAGAAAAGCTAACCGGGATCGACACCGTAGAAGTCGGGGTTTGTGAAGACTGCATCTTTGGGAAGCAGAAGAGAGTTAGTTTCCAGAAGGGTGGAAGGCCACCTAAGGCTCAGAAGCTAGAGTTGATTCATACAGATGTATGGGGCCCAGCCAGTGTGTCTTCTTTTGGCGGTTCGAGATACTACGTCACCTTTATCGACGATCACTCGAGGAAGGTATGGGTTTACTTCATGAAGCACAAGTCAGAGGTGTTCGAGATATTCAAGAAGTGGAAGGCTATGGTCGAGAACGAGACAGATCTAAAGGTGAAGTGCTTGAGATCAGATAATGGTGGAGAATACGAGCTGGAGGAGTTCAAGAGGTTCTGTGCTACGAATGGGATTCGCTTAGAGAGGACTACTCCAGGGACGCCGCAGCAGAACGGCATTGCAGAGAGGATGAACAGGACCTTGACAGAGCGTGCGCGGAGCATGCGATTACATGCAGGTTTGCCTAAGACATTTTGGGCGGATGCGGTGCATACGGCAGCATACCTTATTAATCACGGGCCATCAGTTCCATTAGATTTTGGGATTCCAGAGGAGGTTTGGAGTGGAAAGAAGATAAATCTCTCACACTTACGGGTATTTGGTTGCGTGGCTTATGTTCATATCAGTGACCATGTCAGGGACAAGCTAGAAGCTAAGTCACAGAAGTGCACATTCATTGGATACAGCATTGATGAGTTCGGGTATTGCTTTTGGGATGAGAACAGGAAGATCATCAGGAGCCGGGATGTGATATTCAATGAGGAGGTGATGTACAAGGACAGGGATAATGCCAAGGATAGCCAAAGCAGTGGGAGCATCACTACGGATACAGGTGGATCCGAGTACATGGATTTGGAGGAACTTCCAGATGGGGGCGACGATGTCAGTTCTGACCGTAGAACGGAGGAGACTACAGGTGCAGAAGCTACTACCCAGGGCGTGGAGCCTAGGAGGTCATCTAGGGTACCCAAACCAAATCCAAAATATCTCTCGTCACTTGATTATCTACTCTTAACAGATAGCGGAGAGCCGAAGTGTTATGAAGAGGCAGTGCAAGTGAGTGAATCTCAGCAGTGGGAGCATGCGATGCAGGAGGAGATGGATTCTCTACTCACTAATGAGACACGTGAGTTAGCCCAGCTACCTGCACAGAAGAAAGCCTTGCACAATAAATGGGTCTACCGGGTTAAGCAGGAGAGTGATGGAAGCAAGAGATTCAAGGTCAGATTAGTAGTGAAAGGGTTTCAACAGCGGGAAGAAGTTGACTACACGGAGATATTTTTCCCTGTTGTGAAACTCACAACCATCAGAGTGGTGTTGAGTTTGGTAGCTGTAGAAGACCTCTTCCTTGAGCAGTTAGATGTGAAGACTGCCTTTCTTCATGGTGACTTGGATGAAGAAATCTACATGAAGCAGCCTGTTGGCTTCATTGAAGAAGGAAAGGAAGAGATGGTGTGCAAGCTCAAGAAGAGCTTATATGGTTTGAAACAGGCTCCGAGACAGTGGTATAAGAAGTTTGATAACTTCATGCAGAACAATGGCTACAGAAGATGCAATTCGGATCATTGCTGTTATTTCAAAAGGTTAAAGTCCAGCTTTATTATTTTGTTATTATATGTTGATGACATGTTGGTAGCAGGACCGTGTTTAGAAGAGATAAACAGCAGCTAGCAAAGGAATTTGCAATGAAGGATCTGGGTGCAGCGAAGCAGATTCTAGGGATGCGAATCAATAGGGATGAAGCTGAAGGGACATTGAGATTGAACCAAGCTGAATACATTGAGAAGGTACTTCAGAGGTTTAACATACAGAATGCTAAAGTTGTTAGCACACCCCTTGGAAGTCAGTTCAAGCTATCTGAGGAGCAATCACCTAAGACAGATGCAGATAGAGAGCATATGAGCAGGATGCCATATTCTTCGGCCATTGGGAGTCTCATGTACGCGATGGTTTGCACGAGGCCGGACATCGCTCATTCAGTGGGAGTTGTGAGCAGATTTGTAAGCAAAAGGAGATGATCTGGTTGAACGGGTGCTTGGAAGAGTTGGATCTGAAGCAAGGGAGAGGAGTTCTTTATTGTGATAGCCAGAGCGCTATACATCTTGCCAAGAATCCAGTATATCATGCCAGAACGAAGCACATCGACGTTAAATACCATTTTATACGCTCGCTGATCGAGGACGGAAAGTTGCATTTAATGAAGATTTTGGGGAGTCAAAATCCGACGGACATGTTGACGAAGGCAGTCACCATTGAGAAACTGGAGTTGTGCGCAACTTCAGTTGGCCTTCACGAGTAGAAGACGAAGGCGGAGCCACACTACGAGGATCGGCGCGATCGTCGGGATGTTGATTGAAGAAAGAATTTTTCGGGGGAAAAGATACATGCGAAGAAGGGGAGAGTTCGGGTGAGCTCATTGATGGCGCTTTGGTCTCCAAGTGGGAGATTGTTAGTCTAAGTGTGTAGACCTGAAGCTGCAATCGAAAAGACGAAGAAAACAGTCAGAAGACTGTGCGGTCGACCGCAGTGGCAGATCCGGTCGACCGCGTGCACTGCAGGAAACTGAGAAGTTTCTGTCGCTCTGGCCGGTCGACCGGCGTGGCCGCTGCGGTCGACCGCAAATGTGCACAGGACCCTGTAAACACATTTTTCTCTGGCCGGTCGACCGGCCTTGGCACGGCGGTCGACCGCGAATCGTCCAGACAGTTTCCTAAACTGTTTGGGAATCTGTTTTGTTTCAAAATTCTATATATACCCCCAAAACGTTTTTAGGGTTTGAGAGACATCAAAAGGAGAGCTTTTTGACTGCAAAAGAGAGAGAGAATCTCAGAGAGATTAACCCCTTGTTTGAGAGCTTGTATTTTCTTCTTCAATTAATAAAAAGATTGTGTGGTGTGGCTCCCAAGGACGTAGGCACGTTGCCGAACCTCGTTAAATCTGTGTGTTCATCTCCCTTACTGTTTTTTGCAAGTTAGATCTTTATTTGTGGTTTTATTCCTACTTTCCTACTTTCAACACAAGGTCCGGAAGAGCAAGGGTTTGATTGATTGTTTCGAATCCCCAACACACTTCAGCATTGGAGAGATCGTCTCAGCATCGAATGAAGAGTGATCGGCGGCGTGGCAGAGCCCATGTGATATGACGAAGATCACTTTACCTGTATATATATACTCTCTCTCTCCCTCTCTAGACAATTCTTACCATTTCCGAGTAATTTAGTAAAGCGTAGACCTGTCAATTGATAAAGTTGTGATTTCCTATTGTAAATAGTTCGACAACATTACACCTCTCATCAACATATACAAACTGAATCAACTCAATTCCCTTGAATAATAAAAAATTCTCATAAAACTTTGCGAGCTCATAATTTGTCTATGTTCCTTTATTGGTCCTTCTGAATCATAGATATAAGAACTTTTCAGAGCACGAAAAGAGTAGAGTTGTTTCTTTCAGATAAACAATGATTTCAAGTACAAACATTGAGCTAACTGACGGTATTTTCCCTGTCAAACACATAATTTTTTACTGAAATCCAGTTTGTGATATCTCAGCATATAGTTACTGTTATACCACTAACCGATGTTTTAATTACCCATGAAGCATCGACAGGTTGAAAAACCATAAAGATTCACTTGCATACATATTTCAAGACACCAGGGATATGAACATCATAGAGATAATCTTCCCAGTTGATATTTTTGGTATCAAAATCGAAAATCTTGGAGTCCTTGCTATTCTCTTTCGCCATCGCCATCCTTAAGTACTCCGTGTTTATGTCATCGAAACTGAAATTTGGAATAGGATCAGAAATTAAATTAGAAATAGTGGATAAAAATTAAGAAACTATTACAACAATTAGAATTATACTTTTCCACTCAGAACAATTAAGCAAGTTTACATACTAAAACCATGATAAATACGGTAGCGTGCTTCAAGTATTACAATTAAAGTTGAAAATTTAGGAAAATTTCCATACCATCCCCTGAAGTATGCATAGGGCTCATAGAGATCAACCAAGCGCATCACAAACTTATACTTGCGACTAAGCATACTGTATTGTTCAGAGAATAACTGAAATAGTACCACATTAACCAAATGCAATGCCTACAAAAAAAACAAAAATGTAAACAAAACATATAAAAAATGAGTATGCAAACCTTCAAAACTAATGTAAAATTGCAATAGCTCACCTCCAATGGCAGCCAATATCGAAGAGCCATGTATGCGCGAAAAAGATACATTTTCTTGAATACTGGAATTCTTCGTGTCTTAATTGGTTCTCCGTTCTTCCCAATTCGTGGATTCTCAGTGAAATATTTGAACCCGCATCTTTCTAAGGTTGTATACTTCACAGGATTGCTCGTAGATGAGCAAATATGGTAGATGAATTGAGATCTTTGGTTCAAATGATAAGTTATTGCAAAAAGCATACAGTTTACCACCATATCTCCAGGAATCTACATCAGAAATTTTTGTTCAGAGTTCTTTAGGATAAGCTTGCATTTTGCTTTGACATACAACATACGAGGAAATCATACATCTAAGAAGTGAAATAAGAACATTATACGTGTATTCCATAAATAAAACATTATAACTATTTAGATGCATGTATGAATTTCAAACATTTTCCTTTATGAAAATATGTGCGCATTTTGTATAAAGTAAAGTTAGGAAACTTACAACATCCATAATCAATTCTTGGTCTCCAAAGAAGCATGGGAGCTTTCCCTTCACATAACCGATAATCAAGCTGTCTATAGTTCTGCAAACGCATATAAAGTTTCATAACATTATAACTTATG